CAGGAGTCACTGGGTGGGTGGGGGGAGCCATTCGTGAATGTCCTGCATTGTGCAGGGGGTTGGACTAGATAACCTTGGAGGTCCCCCTTCCAACTCTATAATTCTGTGATTCTATACAGACCAACTCAATTTTCAGGGGTACAAGCTTTCGAGAGTCAAAGCTCCTTTAGTCGAATCTAGCTGTTCTACTGCTGACTAATATGACTGCCCTCTGAAACATTCATCTGGGATGGTCTGTTTGGCAACAGGTCACTGGCGCTCTCTGTGGTAGGTCCATTCCTCAGGGACGGCCTACCAGAGGGGGTGCTGTGAGTGCCTTCCACTGTCCTATTCAGGAAGCTCTGGAAGCCTGTTCTTTTCCAGAGGGTGTATGGTGGAGAGGTAGATTGCATTGGCAGTGAGATTTCCCACATGGGTTATTTGTCCCAGGTTCAATGCTGTTGGGAAGCACATTTTTCCACCAACTTCCCACTGCATCAAGATGCATTGGTGCACCTCCTGGGTTTTCCATAGCTTTTCTTCAATCTTTCCTAAACTTTGCTGCAGAGTTTTGGGCAGTACCACACCAAGACCTGGATAACTGTTGTATGGGTGGGAAAACTAAGATTTTCTTGGTTCGGCCATTTCTTGGTCCTACCACCTGTTTTTTATTTTAAACTTCAAATTCAGTACCATTATATTATATACTATTATATCATTACAATGTTTTAACAATTTATCAGCTTCTCTGAGTTTCCTGTTAAAAAGTCTCTGGCCCTTTTTATTGCAGAGATATGCATCTCCACAATGAAAGAGGCTAAAGACATTAAAAAAATAAAAGCTGGGAATTCGGTGAATTTCATACATAGATTATTGAAATATAGCCATATTAAATTGCTAGTTTTAAAACACAAACTGAAAATGTTGTCGAAAATGCACCAGAGGGGTGTGGGTGGGCTGCTGGTGAGAGGACTGGGGCAGGGGAAATGGTTGCTGCCGTACTGAGTCTGTCTCCCTGTGGAAAACATCTATGTTTGTAACGGCTTTTAACTATATTTGTGTTTTTAACTTGCTGGGTACATATATCTGTGTCCTGAAGCTCTTGTTGTTTTGTTAGCTGTCTTGAGTTTGCAGAGATAAGGCAGGATATAAATATTTCAATTAAGTAAATACATAATTTAAATTTAAGACCAACACAAATAACACAAAAGTGTGCAAGCTTTTAATTTCTCCAGAAATTTTCAGCAGGGTATATGTTAAAAAAAAGGTGGTAGAAGAATGTTTCAGACCTTAAAGAGGATTCAACTTACCCTCACTGACTCAGTTAAGAGTCGGGAGGATAGCTCCCTAGCTCGATTAGGCCAAATTCATCCATAGCAGAGTAACCTCATGGCTAGACTACTGTAATGCACTCTACATGAATCTGCCCTTGAAGACTTCTCAGAAACTTCACCAGGTACAGAATGCTGCAACTCAATTAATATTGGCAGCTAGGCGCGGGATACATATGACAACTATTACTGCACTCATTACCAATTAGTTTCCAGATACAGTTCAAGTTAACTAGTTAGGTGAAGTGGTTAGGAGCGCAGACTCTAATCTGGGAGAACGGGGTTTGATTCCCCACTCCTCCACATGCAGGTGCTGGTGTTAATCACAAATTCTTTCAGAGCTGTTCTCTCAAGAGCAGTTCTCAAGGGAGTTCTCTCAGGATCACCTACCTCACAGGGTATCTGTTGTGGGGAGGGGAAGGGAAAAGTGATTGTAAGCCACTCTGAGACTCCTTCAAGTAGTGAAGAGTAGGGTATAAATCCTATCGCTTCTTCTTAATGTTTATCACCTACAAAGTCTTTCATGGCCTAGAACCTTCATATATGCAGAACAACGTATCTCGATATGCTCTGCTGAATCAGTTCAATAAATCAGAGAAAAGCCCTCTGAATGTGAATGGCCACCATATTCAAGCATTCTTTGCTGTTGCTCCCACCTGGTGGAATTGGCCTGCCTGACAAGGAGGGTACCATGCTCTTATCATTCCACTGACTGTGTAAAACAGAACTGTTCAGGAGGACATTTTCATAAAGCCAGGATGTTTCCTGCATTTCCATCGTTCTGCAGAATGTAAGACAGAACTGTTCAGGAGGGCATTTGTATTATGCTAGGTTTTCTTAGCATCCTGTATTTAATGATGAACCCACGGCCCATGTGGATCGATCGACCCAGAGAATAGGGCCAGGTTCAGATAGGGGGGGGGTATTAGGCAGGCAGGCAGAGGGGGTGATGGCACTGTAAGCGGCAGGAGGGAGGTCAAGGGGTAAGCTGGAGCTGCTCCCTGCCTTGTGATTCAAACATCCATTGGCAGTGCAAACAGGAGGGCCGGCCGGCAATTGAGTAGCTGGACAGGAGGCAAAAAAAAGGTTGTAAAAGGTTTTACCCCCCCCCCCCCCCAATAAGTCTTGAGGGTCCCTGCTTGTTGTCCTCATTTTGTAGTCCAGCTTTAACCCATACTGTCATTTTGGTTGGTCTTTAATAAAGAAGTTCTTACATGGCTTTTGTTCATGGAGAAGGTTTGGATGGATCTCTAGAAGGCAGAACAGGGACTGGGGTGGGGGAGAACTGAACTGATCAATGCAGCCTCATATACTTCATGCATCTGATGAAGTGAGGTCTGACTTACAAAAAAGCATGTGCTATATTTTGTTACTCTTTAAGATGCCACTGGACTCCTACTTTATTTTGGCAGTACAGACTAACACAACTATCTATCTGGAATTGTCTTGTATGAAAGGATGTCATGAAATTGGTACAGTCGTCTTTCTATACTCTGATGTTTGTAGAAATTCCTGGTTACCGAGATCAGTAAAATAGTTGAGTATTCTTATAGTTTGTATCCTAGGATAGCAATTAACAGTTCACCACATCAGTATTGTACAGTCCACCTACTCTCAGCAGCTGGGACTATTGCCACTCTGTGGAAGAGGCACAGGTACCTTGATAGGAAGACACAGTGATGCACGTATCAATGTACATGGATACAATGCCTGGTTCAGTTACATATGGAACACTTTGTCCATGGAAAAGTTGACTGCTTAGAAGCCAAGCACAGACTCTTTTACTGCGACATGGCTTCCTTCCTTATTCTACATTGAGTAAAACTTGGATCATTATAGAATCCCAACACAATATAAGATTTTATTGCACAGGAAAAAATATGTAAGAATTAGTGATACTGCAAGAATATATTTCCTTTGGTGGCAATAAAGGAATTTGTCATATGGGGTTTTGTTTGTAGAGTGGGTTGAGAAGAGTACCTCAGTTTCTTCTTTTCACATGATGACTCCCCTTCTGTACTTGTTTTAAATCACTTCCTGTTTTATTAGGGCCTGGAGAGGTGCAGAGTGGCTCACTGGGTGAAGCATCTGCTGAGCATGCAGAAGGTCCCAGGTTTGATCCACAGCATTCGCAGCTGCAAGGATCTGAGACACTTGTCTGGGTAGACCAGGCAGTCCTTGATGGACCAACAGTCTGATTCAGTGTAAGGCAGATTTGTTTATGTTTTCTTTACGTATTCTCTGGGCTGTTCTTCTAATATCTATTGATTTGTGCAACTTGTTAGATAAACTTGTAGAAAACTTTTTTTAAGTTAAGATCAACTGAAATAACACAAAGAATGTGCAAGTTTTCGAGTTCTCTAGAACTTTTCTACAGAGTGGATGTTAAAAAGGGAAGGGGTCAATAAAGGGGGGGAAAAGCCTTAAGACAATTTTTTTAGCCTGTCCCTCCCTTCTGGGAGCTCAGCAGGGCACACTTGGTTACCCTCTCCGCCCCTTTATCTTCACAGCAACTCTGTGAACTACATGACGCTGACAGAGAGTGACTGGCACATGGTCACCCAGCAAGCGTAGGGATTGAGTGGAGGTTTGAATCTGTCCCCCCCCCCCCCAATCCTTGTCCAGTATCTTCACTGCTATATAGTGTAGCTTGATGAAGAGTTCTGGAGGACTTGAAATAAAAGCACCTTTAAAATGTTTAGGTCTTATGGTAGGATTAGAGGCAAAAGTGCAGAGGATGGGTACCAACAGAAAAGAGCTTAGTGAACACCCCCAGGCAGAAGCAATCTACCTCTGACAAAAAGCAAATGGGGGAGGAAGAGCAACAGGGGATGGCTATCATTTTCATACCCTGCTTGTGGACTACCCAGAGCAGGATGCTGAACTTGACAGACACTAATATGGGATTCTCTTTATGCTATCCTTCTGCCTGCAAAGAAGCTGTTAAAGGCACAGGAGCCAAGCCGGGTCAAAAGGCGGCAGACCTGTTCAGAAGGGGGCTAACAGAAACAGCCATGTGGCACAGAGGGAGTTTTCTCACCTCTGCCTTTGGCAAATCAAAACATTCTGGAGGAATGTTTCCTTCGGAGGATCCCTGCTTTTTTGGACCATACATGCATCCTCAGCCCTACTCTCTGCTTTCTTTTGCAATACACAAGTAAGCTCCAGTCTCAGGATTTCCACTTAAGAGTGTTCCAGTTAGCCTTGCAGTCAGAACAGGGCTTTTCTATGTTGCGAACAACCTTTCTTCACCCAAGTAAATGCTCTGCTTGATCAATGAGACGTCCCTTGCACGGACAGGAAAAGAGGTCAGTAGTAGTTCCCACTTAGTTCCACTGCAATAGGTAGGTAGGAATAAAGCAGGCCGGCTACTCTCTACACAGATTGTTGTTGTTTTTTTAATTTCTGTCCAAAAAAAATCAGAACAGATGCCACTGCAAATACGTGAATAACGTCTCCCACAAGCACAGAGATGCCACCAGGACGCCACTGGGAACAGGGCCCTCATAGGCGTGTGCTGGGAAGGGCCTTGGTTCAAGCCAGGAGTCCTGCCTCGAAATCCCCATCCCAATTGCTTCCCGCAATCTAAGCAGTGTTGGGCCACCCTGCCGTAGTGAATCTTGGCAACGGGCCAGGCCTTTGTGGACCCAGCTAGGAGCCTCACACCTAGGCACCCTCTGCATCGGGGGGAGAGGAAAAGGATATGGCAGGCCATCAGGGCAGCATACGGTTATGAAAAAGGAAGGCACAGGTCAGAAAACCAGACTAGAAAAGAGATGGAAGCAGGAACACAGCGGTGTGGGATGCAAAATTCGGCAGTGGAGAGATTCCCACTCTTGCAGGAGCTCAGCAGGTAAAGAGTAGCTGTCGGACAGCAAGCCCTGAAAGACCAATGGAGAAAACTTCGGTCCCCACTATCAGGCAAAGCTACAAGACTCCGGCAATAGCTAAGATGCATATTCCTCCCCTGGAAATGAGTTTCCTCCTAATATAGTTTTCAGAAATAAAAAATGTCCTGCCTCATCTTGTTAGAAGGACCCTGAGTAGTGTCGTTTGAAGGACAGGACTTGTTAAATGAGAGGGTCTGCTCCCTTCAGCTCCCCACCCTCTTTGGGACAGAGGTCCGTGACTCATCGCCACAAGATACTGAAGCGGTCTTTAGACTCAGAGGTCTTTAAAAAAAAAAAAAGCTCCAATACGTTCATGGATCAGCCACGATCACTGAGAATGGAACCTCCATGTTTAGAGGCAGGATATTTTATGAGCACCAGATGACAGGATATCTGTCTCCATCATGCTCTGCTAATAAGCTTACCTTATGGGCCATCTGGCTGGCCCAGGTAGAAGTAGAGTGTTGTACTAGATGGCCCTTGGGAGTTGGCTACTGGAGGCCCAAGTGGTGCCTCAGGAAATCAAGGCCTGGCAGAAGTGGTGGTGATGGCAGAGAAGGTTCTTGGGCGGAATACTCAAAGGCCCTAACTAGAAGGAAGAGTGGTAGAGCTGTTTTGTTAAGAAGGCAGCCAGTTCCACAATTGTAAAGTGGCATTCTTGACATTTCCATTTAAAGGCAGCCTCTCCTCTAGGCCTGGAGAGCCGTTGCCACAGAGTATACCATCCTGAACCAGAACAGTATAAGATACCTTCATAAATGGGGGTGGGGGGTGGGTTAGGGTGCAATTTTAAGTACAGCGAGGTACTGAACTCCTTCTCTAATCAGCTGCATTCGTCACTCCAAACTCACATTTCTTCTGGTTGGCTTCCAAGACAGGAAGGAGGCAGAGTTGACAAGAAAAGCCAGCTTGGGTGGCTGACGATTTTAGAGGTAAAAGGGCTTCACCCCTTGATTCTTCTCTTTAAATTCTCTCCCTACTTTATATATCTGTGTGATATGAGCTCTGTCCTATGGTATGGGTGACGCCACAGCCACTCCTGCCCCGGTAGGGCCTTATATGGGACCAGCAGTGCCTCAGGACACAAGCCTCTCTTTAAAAGTTGATTTTCCTTCTACCTCAAAACAGGTTGTGTTCTTTCCGGTCACCGTTTTGACTCACTCAGCAGAACCTACTTCAGGTTAGGCAACAAAGGGGACAGGGGTGGCTCTAGAGAAATCCTGCAATCGGAGGGTGGAAATGGGGGATGGGATCAGGTGATAGAAGCATTTCCTGACTAAGAGGGTGGGGATTTTTGTGGGGGAAGGAGAAATCCTCGACATCAGAAGCCCAAAGAACCCATTTCTTCCTGTACCCAACAGACTCTTGATACCAGCTTGGTAACGGAAAACCTTGGCAGAGCCCACACTTCAGCAACCCATAAGCCCTGAGTCCCTGTGCATACAGAATGACAGATGATGTGCATGGCTCGTGCCCCCTGGCCCACACTCTCATCACAGCCACGCTTCAGTGATGCCTCTTTGCCCCCCTGCAAGAGCCTCTTCCGAGTGCAGCACCTCAGACCCAATCCCTGACATCATGGCTTCACCTTGCAAACGTGTTCCGATTGAGGCAGCATGGCCTGATTTTGCTTTTTTTCCCCCCCTGGGGTGGGGGAGGGAGGAGAGGCATTCCGTGTAAAGTTTGGAGATGCTTCATGCAATCTGCAGTACTAAGAAAAATAACCGTGGTCTCTGTCAGCTGTGTCGCTCCCCAGTCTTCCCCAGGTCCAAAGTCCCTCGCCACGCCCGCCCTGACCATCAGTTTTGCACAGACTCAGCGGCTGCAGTCCCCCGCCCGCCCGTTCCCCACGAGGGACTCCTCTATTTGTTCTTCTTGAAAAAGCTGAAGCGCTTCTCACGGTCCTTTTCCTTGGTCTCTTTGCTACGCAGTGTGACGGTCCCTTCGGGGCCGCTGTTGGGGGACACGGGGGGCATGCTCAGGGTGCGTGACATTCCTTTACTGATGAGCGGCGGCTGTTCCTCTGCAGTCCCTTGTGGCGTTGGGGTGCAGGTGGCTGCAGCATTGATGACTCGCATCCAACTGCTCATCTCAGCCTACGGAAGAAGGAAGAGAGTGGCCATGTTGAGCACCCTCGCCTTGTCTGAGGGACGATCTCCCTGTGAGCACACACAGATTGCATTCCCTCCCACCACTCACTGCTGCAAGGAGGAAGGTGGGTGGTGCTAAGAGTTCCTTTTCCAGTTAGAACTCTGCCAAGAAGCTCACTGGGTACTCTTGGGCCAATCACACACTCTCAGGTTGTACCTCATAGGGCTGTTATGGGGATAAAAGGGAGGAGGAGGAGGAAAAGGAGGAGGAGGAGGAGGAAGAAGAGTTGGACCCCACCCTTTGCTCAGAGTGGCTTACAATCTCCTTCCATTCCTCTCCCCACAACAGACACCCTGTGAGGTAGGTGGAGCTGAGAGAGCTCTTTCAAGAACTGCTCTTGAGAGAACAGCTCTGAGAGAACTGTGACTGATCCAAGGTCACCCAGCTGGCTTCATGTGGAGGAGTAGGGAATCAAATCCGGTTCTCCAGAATAGAGTCTGCCGTTCTTAACCACTACAACAAACTGGAGAATGACGATTGCTGCGCTGAATTCTTTGGGGAAAGGGTGGGATATATATGTACCAAATAAATAGATTTTAAGAGCTAAATACTGGAGTACAGACAGGAGAAATCCCTGCATCTTCTTATTTTTGAAATTATTTTCCACGCATTCTGGGACAGGGATCCTGAATGTGGTGCCCATCAGCACCATGGCACCTGCCAACACCTTTTCTGCTGCCCACCAAATGTTTTTAAAAAGTGGGATGGGACAGGTGACCAGCAAGGTTTCTGATTAGCCTTTGGAGATTTGATTGGCTGTGCAGATTTCTTAAAATGTTGCTTTGGCGGCGGCAGCTGCCACTAGAGTATAAAGGTTTTCACTGCGTGACTGAAGGTAATTTGTGGCAGCCATTTCGTGGCTGGCCCCGCCTCCTGAGGCTGACATTTTGTGACTGCGCCCACCACCCTGTGTCAGAATTCCAAAGGTGCCCAAAGGCCCAAAAAGGTTGTGGACCTCTGTTCTAGGGCATGCACCTGAACATCAGCAGAGTGTCTTGCCTTCACCAATGAATATCTGCAGCCTGCCCCGCAGTTTGGTGACTGAGGAGGGGAACTCTTGGCTGCCAAAATGTGTGACTCTTGCTTAGAAGTTAAGATCCAGTGCTTGCTTTCCACATGTACTGCTGGAAGACTTCCTCTTGGCATGCCCCCTTCAAATGACAAGGGATATTGTGGGGCCAAGAGCCCAAGCCAGCATTCAACATGGGCTAAAATTAGAGGGTTGGAGGCTTTCAGGCAGCACTCCAAGAATGGGAATTGCAAAGGCAGGGATCCACTCACCTCATCCTTCGCCTGGAATAAATACTCTTTGCCATCGGTTAACCTGCAGGGATGGATGGAAAATTTAGATATTATTATTTAGGGGGATTGCCCAATCGGTCTGCATATATCACTTTGGTACGTATTTTATATTATTATATGCTTCCTGTGTGTAACTCTGCCATACAATAAATTATACCTGCAGGGAGGAGGGGTGGAAATGTAATAATCATTTCTGATCATTGCCCAGGGATCACCTACAAACCCAAATCCCACTATGGACAGGAGACTGGGTATCAGCAGCAAGGTTTTTAGAAAAAGAGCAAAGTTATGTTCTTCTGTAAAATACAAACGTGCGGAGGAGTCCTATAGCCTGGCCTAAAATAGCCACTGGTGCAATGCTTTGGGACCCTATGAGAACTTCACAGTCATGTCCATCCGAGTACAATCACTTCTGCCAGCCCTTTTGCCATCATGGCTGTCAGTGGGGGAGTTGGGCCTCAGAACTACATTGGCCGTTGCTGTGGTCCTCCCTTAGCACACTCCCAACACCTTCAACTTCTGCCCCCTTATGCAAACATAGCCAGTTTGGACATAACATTTTGGCATGTGCTACTGGGATCATAACTGCAAGTTCCAATGCTGTCAGAGCTCTGCAATGCTATTAACTTGCATGTTCCTAAATCAAAATTAGTTTAGTCCTGATCCTATCCTTGTCTGGCAGGTGTAACCTCAAGGATAAGATTATACCTGTAGAATTGTACTGTTGTGGGGGTGCTGACAATTCCTTCTTCAGATCCCTCACCCTGTTCATGGGACAGTTCCCAAAATTCCCACACTGGGAGCCATGGCAGTACAACCCGCATGGAACAGGCCATGACACGTCCTACCGTGTTCAGTTTTAAAAGTGGGGAAACTTAAACAGAAAGCAAGGCCAATGCTCTGTGACCAAAACTGCACCCCCTACCCAAGCTTGAAGACATGCTTGCGCTTCTTGTAGTCCAAGGCAACATTGCACTGTGACCCCTGCAAGCTGACGGGCACCTCGCCATGGTAAGGGATGCCGTTGCTGGCGTTCTTGCTGTCCTTGTAGAAGCCCAGACTACCCTTCCGCACAATGCAAAAGATGTTCTGCCAGGATCTGGAGAGACAAGTTAATAAGGGGTTACCTCTATGTCCAAAAGACCTGGATACCTCCTCGGCAGTCCCAGGCCTGACAAGCAGCCAAAAGAGGTGGCTGGCTGAATTCAGTTCCACGTATGAAATCCATCCACATACAGATGTGTTTCCTGGTTGTTGCACGAACCCTTTCCTTAATGTGAGCTTCTCTTTTCTGCCTTTGTAACTCTTCTAGCTCTTCCACCCATCCTCCCTCTTGCTTGTCAACTCATGCTACTTGATTCCATTACCTTCCATTGAAGCTGTTACTCTTTTCAGCCTTCATGTCCCAGCATCCTCTCCCCATCACAGCCTGCTGAAAGCTCACAGCCTCTACCCCTTCACCCCCCGCGTCAGTGTAGTTTTCTCCCATGCAAACTGACCTTTCATTACCCTCACTGAGGTTGTCCTGTTTGTCACTATTCCAATGGTCAACACCTTCCTATAAAGGACTAGGCCTCAATGGCAGAGCATGTGTATTGCATGCAGAAGGTGGCTGGTTAGATTCCCAGCTTCTTTAGTTGAAGGATTTCAGCAATGCTGGCAAAGGCCGTTCTGTTCCTGAGACCTTGGAAGTCTTTTGGAATGACTTCCACAGAACAAATACATATCTAGATAAGCAATAAGCGACTTCAAAATCTACAAAGGCTTATGGGATATACTTTGCTGTCTGCCATTCCAAAACGCCCTTCCAGAGCCACGCCCTGTCTCACCTGTTGGCTGCTTTTTTGCCATGTGACTCCATTTCCTGTTTTCGGTACAGCATTCCCTCCATCTGTTCCGAGGCTGAGGAATCTGGCATCCGCAAGGGCAGTGTGGCTGACTGAGCAGGATCAGTGCCAAGGGCAGGCAGCTTGGAGCGGGGTTTGGGTGATGGAACTGGGCTGGGCTCCTTCCCCTTGGACACAGAGTCCAGCCGTGACCCGTTCACCGTACCTGATGTCTCAGACATCTGGGAAAGATGGGAGATGTATCAGATGCCTTTTCACTTGTTATACCACAGAGACTGTGCTTGCACATAGCCCTAAGACTCTATGAATACGGGATACAGGATACGGCTGGATATCACATCACGCTACCACTTTACTGAGGATAAATGGGTCTAGGTCTGCTCAGTGCCTGGATGGGAGACCAACTGGGACCCCACCCCTCATTCACTGACCCATGTACACAATGCTAAAAATCACGCCGGAAAAAAATGTAGAATATGAAATAATGAAAATACAACAAATTAATCCAGGCCTCAGCTCTCTCCTTGCAGGGGACAATCAGGAAGGCTGTCCTTTCTTCCCTCGCCAATTATTATATTTACATCAACATCAGCATTCCTGTTGCTTTACACAGTAGCGGAGACGACAAAAAGACAGGTCCCTTGTTGGGTGTTACAAGTTAAAACACTTATTTTCAGTGTTTACTGGGTTAATACTGTTTGTTAAATCACATGTTTGTTTGTGACCAATAAGTTTAGAGAGTTAGAAAGCCCGGTAACCTCAGATCTAGTTTGTTGTTCTGATTGGAGACCAAAATGCCAAGTATTAGCATTTTATGGCTCTTTGTCCAGAGCAAGAAGAAGAAGCTTGTCTTCTCTCTCTTCTGCCATGTTCTGTCTAGCTGTAAGGATGTAGGAATATTAGCTCTTTGTTATTTTACATCCCGTGTACCTTTTCCCCATGCTAGGTTGTAGTAAACTTTTATATTTAAACACACCATGGACTCTGACTCTTTAATACTCTGATGAATGCTGATTACTCTGCTGATTTACTTTAACATTAAAAGAATAACATTAAAAGAATAACCCAACATCCCTGCCCCTTAGGCGCTTACAGTCTTAATCCCTACAGTGGGAGGAACATGAGAAAGGAAGAAGCAATGGGAACAAGGGATGGACAGCCGCCAATCTAGGTACATTTCCTTAGGCTTGGTTCTAGTTGGGGATGATGGTTAACTGGTTTTCTAGCGGTTTTCATGGAAAGCCTGAGTTTCAAGAAGTGCTCTGAAGGGGAGAGAAAGGAGACACCATGTGTGTGGGAAAGTGAGTTCCAGGTGTTAAGGGACAGCAAGGGTGGAGTCTAGGATTCTCTTTCTGAGTCAGAGGGGACTTCCACATCAAGAGATGGGAACGGGATGTTGGGTAATGATGCGCTGTGCCTAAATAAAATTTCTCTTGGGCAACAGAGTGTGACAATGCGTCTCTCGCAACGGTACTACAGCCCCATCCCAGGCCCATGCTGCCCAGCCAATCAGCTCTCTGTTTTCAAGTTTTTCCATCTTCCTTCAGCCTTGCTCCCCACATCTCCCCCAGTGCCCAGCACATCCATGCCTCACCTGGGTAGACTCAGAATCAGGATCAATCCCGTTCAGAGATGGCAACTCCAATGATAGACCACGCTCTCCTGAACTCCTGCAGGAGGTAATGGAGGAGGGGGAACATGCATCAGTGCTGGAGTTCTACCCCACAGTGTCCAGTGGGGGAAGCTCTTTTGCCCCCCTCCAAAGAAAGCATCCCCTTCCCTTCTCTCTTGCAGTCCTCAAAAGTACAATGCCATTGCCTCCAGTTTTGCAAAACTAGATTAGAATACTGCAATGCGCTCTACCTGGGGCTCCTCTTGAAATGCGTTCGGAATCTTCCAACGTTGCAGCCAGAATATTGATTCCACTCTTGGTCCATCTACACTGGCTTCCAATTTGTTTCCAGACCCTTCAAAGCCCTATACAGTTTGGGAGCAGCATACCTGAAGGACTGCTTACTCCCATATGAATCTACCTGACCACTGAGGTTATCTTCCAAGGTCCTGTTCTGGGTGCTCCCGCCTTTTGAGACGAGCAGGTGGCAACCCAAAAGGGCCTTGTTGGCCAGGGATATTCATCTGTCCCCTTCTCTCACTGCCTTTGGTCATTCCCTCAATGATTGCTCCTTCCTGCCATGTGTTTTTACTGTTCGATGTGTATTTTGATGTTTGATGTGTAATATGTATCAGTTTTATATTTTAGTTTGATGTGTGATATCCATTTTAGTTTTGTTTTTATGAACTGTTTTTATCTTATGTTTTTACAATGTTGTGTTTTAATTGTTAGCCACCTTGGTGGCCTTGACTGAATAGAAATGTGGCATACAAATTTTGTAAATAAATAAATAAGCTAATTAGGGTTCCCCCCTTTAGAAAAGGTATATTACACTTCATGGTCATTCCTG